GATTGGGGGAGGCCCTGGGGGAGGGCAGCTGGGGTCCTGCCAGGTTGGTCCCACAGCGCCACCCCTCACCTGAGCGGCACTGCGGGACCAACCCGGCAGCACCCCAGCTGCTCTGCGCTGCTCCACTTCCCCAACTCCTCCACTGGTCAGTTTCAGCAATGGCAGCAGCGGACTTGGGGAAGCGGCGCGGAGCAGCTCCCATTGTCTCCGGCTGGCTGGAGCACTTCCGGGTTCCAGTTGGTGCTGGACTATCAGGAATGCTAGACCACTGGATGCCGGACAATTGCAGTTTTACTGTAGCAGTTCTACAGAAAAGGACCTGGGGGTTACAGTGGATGAGAAGCTCAAAATGAGTCAACAGTGTGTCCTTGTAGCCAAGAAGTCTAATGGCATATTAAAGTGCATTGGGAGGAGCATTGCCAGCAGATCCAAAGAAGTGATTATTCCCCTTTATTCAGCTCTGGTGAGGCCACATTTGGAATATTGTATACTGTTCTGGGCCCCCTCACTATAGAAGGATGTGGACGCATTAGAGAGGGTCCAGCGGAGGGCGACCAAAATGATTAGAGGGCTGGAGCATATGACCTATGAGGAGAGGCAGAGGGATTTGGGTTTGTTTAGTCTGCAGAAGGGAAGAGTGAGGGGGGATTTGATAGCAGCCTTCAACTTCCTGAAGGGAGGTTCCAAAGAGGATGGAGAAAGGCTGTTCTCAGTAGTGAGGGATGGCGGAACAAGGAGCAAGTTACAGTGGGGGAGGTCTAGGTTGGATATTAGGAAAACCTAATTCACTAGGAGGGTGGTGAAGCCCTGGAATGGGTTACCTAGGATATGTCTACACAGCAAAGTTATTTCAAAATAACTTTCCTAGCATCTACACAGCCATTCCATTATTTTGAAATTAATTTTGAATAGCAGAGGGCTCATTTCGAAATTGGTAAACCTCATTCCACAAGGAATAGTGCCAATTTCGAAACTGCTATTTGGAAATAAGCACTGTGTAGACGCTTATTTTGAAATAGGGGTCCTTCAGCCCTTCCCAGGGTGCCCTGTTGACCGGCCTGGCCACAAGATAACTTCTGACCTGACGCCCTGCTGGAACTGATTCCAACCAGCCTTAAATACGATTCAACGTCCACTCGATGTGGACATGCTATTTCAAAATGCATTTTGTGTGTAGATGCATTATTTAGAAATAGGCTATTTTGAATTAACTATTTCAAAATTAGATATTTCGAAATAACGCTGTTGTGTAGACATACCCCTAGGGAGGGGGTGGAATATCCATCCCTAGACATATTTAAGTCTCGGCTTGATAGAGCCCTGGCTGGGTTGATTTAGTCGGGATTGGTCCTGCCTTGGGCAGGGGGCTGGACTTGACCTCCTGAGGTGTCTTCCAGCTCTATGACATTTCACTGTTTTGGAGGGTTCCTGCAAGACCCAGCGCTCTGGGAAAGCGTTCTCCCAGCAAAGATTCTGATCCACTGTAGAGACCACTTAGGTCGTTCATCTAAGGTCTCTTCCCCTCAGCTCCTGGGCTAGTCAGATGCCTTTCCTCACTGCCCATCCCCAAAGTCTAGCACCACCCAGCAGCTCTTAGCACTATGTACCGCATTCAGTGCAGTGTGAAACAGGAGAGACTCAACAGGGAGTATTAAACCACCCCGGTTTCGGTAGCTGTAGCTGGGGAGCCAACAGACTCCTGAAAAGTCGGCTGGTCTAACAGGTGAGGAGCGACACAGTAATTAATTTCCCTCTTTAAAATATTTTAAGCTACTGAGGAACAGCCTGAACTGGGAGCCCTAAATCTAAAATAAAGATTTTTGAAGCAGCAGCTAGTTATGCTCTCAGCCTTTGCCAAGCAGCCGAGCCAGGCTCTGGCCTAGCTCTCCTCCCACAGGGGGGTTTCTGCTACCCCTCAGGCCCGGGCGCTCTGCATTCCCTCAGCCAGGACCCCCACCTCTCCACGCCATCAGTATCCCTCTACTTGCTGTGCTGGCGTGTTGCACTCCATGGGGAGGCTGGGAAGAGAGCAGACGGGGAGCTCACTGGTGTGGTGCCCCAGTTCTCTGATCTACAGACCACTGGCCACATGGCAGGGGCTCCAGGTGCCCCCCGCTTTCCTCTTCCTGGTTGCAAAGTGAGTGTTTATCTTTTCCTCAGGAATCCTCTTCACAACCCTCCCAGACCCCAGCTTTCACCAGCTCATCCTACCTATAAGCCAAGGGAATTGGTCGGTCTGGGGACGCTGGGTCTGTCAGCCTGAGAGAAGCAGAATATCTACTAATTCAGAAAAGGAAATGTCAGCTCCGCTTCCTGGAAGGGCCTTGCTTAGCTCTCATTCCCCTTTGCTGAAGGGCCTTACAAACAGTTGAGGGGATGGCTCTGGGTATCACCACGAGCGAGAGCAACCGTCTAGAGCAGGCCTGGGCAAAATACAGCCCACAAGCCAGATGTGGCCCGCCAAACCACCGGATCCAGCCCGCAGAGGCAGTGGGGAGCCCCAGGCAGGCCCCCAGCTTGCCCCACAGCCCATGTGCCACGCAGAAACACGGCTGCAGGGCTCCATTTCTGTTTTCAAACTGAAGGGGAGGGGGGAAGTTTTAGGAGCCGCTGCGCCCCAGAACCTTCCCATTAGCTGGTTTCTCGAAGAAACCAGCCAATGGGAGCTGCTTGTTGGAGTAACAGGCAGCTAAGAAGAATCACGCCCCCATTCCGGGGCTCAGTTATTCGTGGAGCACATGGCCAGGCAAACAGGCTGGGAAACATTTTAAGCTCTGCAGGCAGGCAGGCTAGTTTGGCAGCTGGCAAGTAAGTCTCTTGGCCACAGCCTGCTTCTAGCACCCCAACCCCTTCCTGCCCCAGCTCTCTGACCCCCCCCACTCAACATACCCAAACCCTGTGTCCCCCTCTTACAGCCATACCCCCTCCCAGATCTGGCACCCCCATCTCCTACCCTAGGTCACATCTCAAACCCCTGCACTCCAATTCCCTGCCCTAGGTCACAATCACCTGCTTCATCCCAACTCCCTCCCAGATTAATATCATGGAAGGGTGCGGCCCTTGACCACTTTCCAAAATCTTGGAATCCCCCCGGTCTAGAGACTCCTTTCCCAGGGGATGGAGTTTCACTTGGTGCATGCTGGTTCTCCCCACTGGAAGAAGCGAGTTGCTCCAGAAGCTCTGTGCAACAAACCAGTGTCACTGTGGGCAAAAAGGCAACAAGCGGAGCAGCCTTCCCCAGTGCTGGTTAACGTGACAAAGGCACCAGGAGGAAGGAAAGGGAAGAATGGGAGGAATGCAGGGGGAGAGTTTGCTCTCATGCCCCGGGCTCCAAAGTGCTTTGCACTGCAGTGAATTAGGCCCCTGCAACACAGTGACACAGCAGCACTTGCTCATCAATGGGATCTTACTACTGAGAGCACGTCGGCCAGAGTCCCCAAAGTATCTCGCACTTATTAGAACAGTTCACCAGCCTCCCACACACTGCAGCTCGCCAAGCAGGAGCGCAGGCGGTGGAGTAAGGAACCCAGGCATTTTAGGCCAAAGGAGAAACAAAGTGACAAACATCCTTTGCTGAAGAGGGACAGAATTTGCACTGCAAACATCAGCACACAATGATCCTCCTCTTTATGCTTCTGAACTGTGCTTGCCCCGCCTGCCAGTGCACTGTTATCACAGAGGGGGTCTGAAATTCCCCTACGGCAGCTGCAGCACTTACCAGAGAAATGTCTCTGGGCTGTCCGCGTAGGCACCATGGCATTTGCTTTTTCAATTGGATACGTGGTGGTTGCTAATGTGGTACTCTCCAGGCTGCTGTCTGCTGGCGCTACAACCCCAAAGCCAGAACTCGGGTAGCATGGCTGGTACTGGCTTTGGCCGAGAATTGTGTAGGTAGGATATTCCTGTTCAAAGAAAGAATCAAACAAGGTAGGACAAGGCTGGGGAGTCGACAGCCTCGCTGGGCCTCAGGGCAGTTGCTGGCTTTGCCCTCCCAGTCTCAGAAGACACTGAAAACCAAATGGGCTGCAGGGCTACAATGCAAGCTCAGGCCTTCTCCCCTTTGGCCCAGCAGCACAAGAGAGATCTCCATCAGAAAGAGCAGGTACCCACAGGGGAAGGAGCAGAAAGAAGCAGGCAGCCAGGACCACCCACTCCAGACTTACAGAGGGAGAAGAAATAGTGCTGCCTCCTAACCAATGGGTTTTAAATTCCAACTACATCAGAGGGTTGCTCCCTCTCTGCTCACCATCAGTTGCTGATGCAGCTCCTTCCCCTCTCCTTGGCGAGGGAGGAGCAGAAGGATTTATCAAGCTGGGTGAAAATAGCCTTTGCTGCAGAAGCTAAGGCCTGGTCTTCACTTGAAAACAGGTTGGCAGAACTATGTTGATCAGGGCTGTAAAAAATCCAAAGCCCTGACTAGCGCAGTTCAGCAAATGCTTCCTTTGACTTATCTGCTGCCACAAAGGGAGGTGGGTTCATCTACACTGCAGGCTTCTTGCGCAAGAAGCTTTTATTGGAAGAGATCTTCCGCAAAAACTTCTTGCACAAGAGCACGTCCGCACTGCAAAGGCGCATCAAAAAAAGCGATGCGCTTTTGCGAAAAAGAGTATCCGGACAGCATGGACACTCTCGAAAGTCAGCTCTGATTGCTATGCACAGAATGGCCACCATGGCACCTGTGCTTTTTCCCCTTTCCTCTTTTTGCACAAAAAATTCCTCTTCCCCATCCACACACACCTTTTTGCAAAAGAGCTCTTTCACAAAAAAGCATTCTTCCTCGCAGAATGAGGAATACCTACGCTGGGAAAACCCCTCTGTTCTTTCGATTTTTTTGCGCAAAAACGCACTTGAGGTGTGGACGATCCACAAGGTTTCTCGGAAAAACGGCCATTTTTCCAAAAAAAACTCTGTAGTATAGACATAGCCTACATGACCAGACCTTCTCCTGGGGCTGTAGACAGTATCTGAGCTGGAGCACTGCAGCAGCAGGACTGGGCTGTTGTGTAAGTGCATGCAAGTCCTGAGCTAACCATAGTGATGCTACTCCCACGTTCCTACGGCCTTCCGCACAGGGATCTCCAAGGGCTCTGTGGTTCCTCAAGCCTTCTTACATTGACAGAGTGGGGGGAACGAAGGTAAAGGGAAGTAAAGGTCAAGGTCCCAAAGGAGATCTCTGCTGGTCAGGATGCCTCCAGTATCTAACTCAAATGCCTCCAAGCCTGTATTTTAGCCACAAGACTCATTCACCACTCACACAGCAAACTTGCCCTCTGTAAATCTGGGGCCCAAACAACAGAGTTTTGAATTTAATTCATGCCCCAAATACTGTCCCCACTGGCAAGAAAATGCTGAAGTGAACCACTTAAAGTGGCTACAAATATTTAGTCTAAAAATTCTCTGGAACTTTCAAAACAAAAACAGTTCCACTCCAGTGATTGTGGAGTCAGAAAATGTGAACACAAAAGCTACACCAGATATGCCTGAGAGAAGAAATGTGAACAAGAAGTTTTACCTGGTGAGAGATGCTGGCTACTGCTGGTGTTGAAATGTTGACAACAGGCGAGGACGTGGAGACTGGACTCGCATTGGTAGTTGATGCTGTTTAAAAAAAAGTCAAAGAATGACCATATGTTAATTCATGTTAATAATATAAAAGGCAGAAGACCAACCATAAGTGGGAAGCAGACACATTTCTAACCCCAACTACGCTCTAACAATTTAAACAGCTTCAGAGGGGTAGACGAGTTAGTCTGTACAGGATAAACTTAAAAAACAACAAATGGTCTGGTAGCACTTTAACAAAACACGTAGATGGTATCATGAGCTTTTGTGGGCACAGCCCACTTCTTCAGAACTTAAACAGGGTTTTTCATCTGTGGGGATGGAGAACCATGTTTTAAAATTGTTGGTAAAATGTATGGCAAAACTCTCTTCAAAACACATTTCCCTCTCCATTTCTGCCACACAAATAGTAGAATTAGGCTAGTGACGTGTTTTTTTTAATTAATTGATATATTTCAAAATTTGGGAAGACAAAGAACACAAGATGTAGTCATCTCCCTTTAAGTTACAAGAAATAAAATCGAATAAATCAATACTTACAGTATCTGAAAAGCATTTAAATTAGTTCTGATAACATTTTTGTCCAGTAGAGTGAGGCCTTAAAATATTTGATCTCATTGAATTCAACAGCTTCAGGAAATACTAAAACCCATTTAAATCATAACAAAAAGCTACATCATACTGACAATTTTTTTTTATATTTAACCTTTGAAATGTGTGTGAAACTACAAGCATTTTCTGAATGAGGTCCCTTGAGATCACTATCGACAGCTGCTCTGAGAGGCAGAATCATAGAATCATACACGATTAGGTTTGGAAGAGACCTCAAGAGGTCATCTAACCCAACCCCCTGCTAAAAGCAAGACTAACCCCAACTAAATCATCCCAGCCAAGGCTTTGCCTCATCAGATTTCTTTTGGCCCAATCTTCCAATTTGTTTAGGCATCTCTGGACCCTATCCCAGCCCTCCAGCATATCGACTTCTTGCCCAGAGCTTAGGGTCTGCCAACTTGCTGAGGACGCAATCCAATCCATCATCCAGATCATGAATGAAGATGCTGAACAAAACCAACTCCAGGACATACCTGGGGCACTCTGCTTGATACTGGCTGCCAACCAGACATCAAATCATTGATCACTACCCATTGAGCCCACTAATCTAGCCATCTTTCTAGCCATTTTATAGTCCATTCATCCAAGCCATGTCTTTAATTTGCTGGCAAGAATATCATGGAAAACCATGTCAAAAGCTTTGCTCAAGTCAAGGTATATCACATCCACTGCCTTCCTCATGTCCATAGAGCCAGTAATCTCATTGTTAGGGATGTACGCAACTAGTCGGATACACAAGCTTATTGGACAGTTGAGTAGTGACTCAATTAGTGGGGAGCAGGAGTTGGTGCTGGGGGAGCTGGCTTACAAGCTGGTTCCCCCCAGCACCGCCTCTGCGGAAGGCAGGGGAGGCAGAGGCAGAGCAGGGGACCAGGCGCAAGCCGGCAGTCAGCGGATTCCTGGCTCATGCCCATACCAGAAGCCTTGCCTCTGCTTCTTAAATGTTTTAAGAGCCGTCATTTAAATGTATTAAAAGCTGAAGAGCAGCGAGGGGAACCAGGCGCAAGTTGTTCTGGCTCATGCGTGGTCCCCCCTGCTGTGCTTCTGCTTTTTAAATGTATTAAGACAGTGGTCCCCAACCTTTTTACACCCAAGATCACTTTTTAAATCTCCGAACAGGCGAAGATCTACCGCCCCACCGCTTCCTTGAAGCCCCGCCCCTTCCTTGAAGCCCCGCCCACTCTATTCACCTCCTGTCCATCACTTGCTATCCCCGGCCCTTAGTTACACACTCTGATAAACAGTTTATTTTTAAATTATGCGATATGTAAAATTAAAATCACGTGTTTATAGTTATGAAATAAATGGTCTGTTTTTTATTCATGCTATTTAAATCTAAAATGAAGCATTTATAATTATACATTTTGTGGGGACAGAGTTCTGCGGCTGGGGGCAGAGGAGAGGGAACAGGGTGCTGGGAGGGCAGAGGACAGGGTTCTGCAGCAAGAGACAGGGTGCCAGTGGGGACAGGAATAGGGACAGAGTTCTGTAGCTGGGAACAGGGGAGTGGCGAACAGAATTCTGTGGTTGGGGACAGAGTTTTGTGGCTGGGGAGTGGGGTGCCAGTGGAGGCAGAGAGTCCCCTGCATCTGCCTCCTCTCAGGATTCCCCGGCCCCCAGAGGGAAACCAGTGCGTGCCTGCCCCGGGGCTGACCCCGGCCCCCAGCGCAGGGAAGCCCCTCCCGCGCGCCTGCCCCGACGCCAACCCCCCAGCACAGGGAAACCCCGCGCGTGCCTCCCCCAGGGCTGACTCACCCCTCCTGTGTGGTGCAGGGAGCCGATGCTCCCTCCCGCAGTACACCCAGCAGAGCAGCTAGCGCTACTTCTGGAATCGCTGGAAGTGGCGCTAAGCTGCGGGACTTCTGTCCATCCCTGGGAAGCCGACACTACCTCCATTTTCACTTGAGGTAGGTAGTGGGGTTTCTCAGGGGTGGGAGGGAAATGGGGGCGGGGCAGACAGGACGCCTCGCGATTGACTGGTCGAGGCCTCACGATCGACCAGTCGATCGCGATTGACCTGGTGGTGACCATGGTATTAAGAGCTACCAGGCTCTTAATACATTTAAAAGGCAGAGCTGCAGCAGGGTTAGCTCCTGGTGCTGGGAGCTAACCCTGCTGCGGCTCCGCAGTTTCCCCCACTTATCAACTAATCAATGGAAATTTCATCGACCTGTCAATTAGTTGATTAAATTCAAGCTAACATCCCTGCTCATCACAGAAGGCAATCAGGTTGGGCAGACAGGACTTGCCCTTGGTGAATCCATGTTGACTGTCCCTAATCACCTTCCTCTTTCCCAAGTGCTTCAAAATGGATTACTTTCTCCATGATTTTTCCAGGGACTGAGCTGAGGCTGAAAGATCTGTAGTTCCCTGGCCTTCTTCCCCTTTTTAAAACATGGGCACTCCATTTGCCTTTTTCCAGTCATCCGGGATGTTGCCAGATTGTCACGAGTTTTCAGAGATAATGGCCAATGGCTCTGCAATCACATTCGGCTGCTCTCTCAGCCCCCTCGGATGCGTTATAGCCCCGTGCACTTGTGCATGTCCAGCGTTTCTAAATAAACCTTAACCTGTTTTTTCACCCCTGGGGGCTCCCCATCTCCTCCCCGCACTGTTCTGTCCTGTGCAGCAGTCTGGGAGCTGACCTTGTCTGTGAAGACCAAGGCAAGAAAAGCATTGAGTGCAACAGCTTTTTCCACATCAGTTGTCACTAAGTCGTCTTCCTCATTCAGTAAAAATTCCCACTATTTCCCCGACCACCTTCTTGTTGCCACCATACCTGCAGACACCCTTCTTGTTACCCTTCACACCCCTTGCTAGATGCAACTCCAACTGTGCTTTAGTCTTCCTGATTACACCCCTATATGCTAGAGCAACCTTTTCATACCCCTCCCTAGTCATCTGTCCAACTTTCCAACCTCTTGTAAATTTCCTTTTTGTGTTTAAGCTCACCACACATCCCAGTTAAGCCAAACTAGTTGCCTGCCATATTTCCTGTGTCTTTTGTACACTGGGATGGTTTGTTCCTGAGTCCTCAATGAGGCTTCTTTAAAATACAGCCAGCTCTCCTAGACTCCTTTCCCTATCATGTTAGCTTCCTAGGGCATCCTCCCGGAATCAAAGGATGCTTTTCTGAAGTCCTGGCTCCATATTTTGCTGCTCTCCTTTCTTCCTTTTGTCAAAATCCTGAACTCAAACATTTCATCTCAACAAAATCCTAATCTCAACAAGATTAGAAAGGCAAAGGCACAAAATGAGATCAAACTAGCTACAGGCATAAAGGGAAACAAGAAGACCTTTTATAAATACATTAAAAGCAAGAGGAAGACCAAGGACAGGGTAGGCCCACTGCTTAGTGAGGAGGGAGAAGCAGTAACAGGAAACTTGGAAATGGCGGAGATGCTCAATGACTTCTTTGTTTCGGTCTTCACCGAGAAGTCTGGAGGTGTGCCTAACGTAGTGAATACAAGCAGAGAGAGGGTAAGTTTAGAAGATAAGATACACAAAGAACAAGTTAAAAATCACGTAGGAAAGTTAGATGTCAGCAAGTCACCAGGTCCTGATGAAATGCATCCCAGGATACTCAAGGAGCTGATAGAGGAGGTATCTGAGCCTTTAGCTATGATCTTTGAAAAATCATGGCAGACAGGGGAGATTCCAGAAGACTGGAAAAGGGCAAATATTGTGCCCATCTATAAAAAGGGGAATAAGAACAACCCAGGAAACTACAGACCGGTCAGTTTAACGTCTGTCCCAGGGAAGATAATGGAGCAGGTAATTAAGGAAATCATATGCAAACACTTGGAAGGTAATAAAGTGATAGGGAATAGCCAGCATGGGTTTGTGAAGAACAAGTCATGCCAAACTAATCTGATAGCTTTCTTTGATAAGATAACGAGCCTTGTGGATAAGGGAGAAGCGGTGGATGTCATATACCTAGACTTTAGTAAGGCATTTGATACGGTCTCGCATGATATTCTTATTGATAAACTAGGCAAATATAACTTAGATAGGGCCACGATAAGGTGGGTGCATAATTGGCTGGATAACCGTAGTCAGAGAGTTGTTGTTAACGGTTCTAAATCCTGCTGGAAAGGGATAACAAGTGGAGTTCCGCAAGGGTCTGTTTTGGGACCCGTACTGTTCAATATCTTCATCAATGATGTAGATATTGGGATAGAGAGTACGCTTATTAAGTTTGCAGATGATACCAAACTGGGTGGGGTTGCAACTTCTTTGGAGGATAGGGACATAATTCAAAATGACCTTAGCAAGTTAGAGAAATGGTCAGAGGTAAACAGGATGAGGTTTAATAAAGAGAAATGCAAAGTGCTCCACTTAGGAAGGAACAATCAGTTCCATACATACAAGATGGGAAGCGACTGTCTAGGAAGGAGCATGGCAGAAAGGGATCTAGGGGTCAT